CCTCGCTCTGGTGTACGTCTCCTCACTCTGGTGTACGTCTTCTCACTCTGGTGTATCTCTCCTCACTCGATCTGGTGTACGTCTCCTTACTCTGGTGTACCTCTCTTCAGTCTGGTGCACGTCTCTTCACTCTGGTGTACGTGTTCCTCACTACGAGGGCAAGGTTCCTCACTCTGAGGACAAGGTTCCTCACTCTGAAGGAAGCTGGTCCTTTTGAAAGCTGATTTTTCCGCGCGTCGGCTTCAACGAATCATAGACTTTCATCATAGGAGTTAGCCTTCCAGTTTACTTATAGTTCAATGGGGCCGGGCAAAAATCCATGTGTCAGTATTCGGAAAAATATAAAGTTTCAGAAAAATTATGTTATGTTCGGAAAAACCGTTGTATGTGTGCGAAAATTACGGGATATAAGAGAACATTTTTTTGTATGTCCGGAAAATTTTTTGTATGTTAGCGAAAAGTACGGGATATTAGCGAAAATTTCAGAGAAAATTTTTTTGGTGACCTCTCCCACGCCGCCAAAAATTTTGGGGAGAAATATTAATTAGCGACGGCCGGGCAAACTAATGCCAATTGCCCCGCCAACAAGATTAGGCCCATACGCCCATGTTAGTGCGTCAATCTGGGAGGCCCTTGAAGAAAAGAAATTGAAAGGATTTACAAGTAAGTGCATCCAACATTACTGTGTTTAAATTATTCCGATGTGTATTTTGTACTTTACACTGTAGGCACGCGCTGTCGCATGTTACGAATACATGCGTAGTTTTACGTTTTTAATTAATCTAGGCGTGACGCGTATATTCTTGTCAGGCCAACAGGCCCATTAACTCAGGCTCAGTACATTACCCGGGGACGTTTTCCCCGTTACTCACCATTTGTTGGCGGGTTAGTCGTTGGGCTTGTCGGCCTGACAAAAATAGAAGAATTGCCTTCTAACGTCAGCAGCGGCAATGTGAAGGAGTGACGCACTAAACGTAAAACAGCGTGGCATTGCCTATGAAACGTGATATTCCAATAAATCCACATGCGGTCTAACCGAAATGCTGGAACCATCACGTGCGTATATCTACTAGCCAAACCTTTGACTAAATCAACTTGGGATATAACCAATTAATGCCATAAGGATAATGCCAACTTTCCAAGTTGCGTTTCTTTCTTTGAGTTAATTCCCCGACGAAAATGGGTGTGGTTAGGGCGTGGTCGGGGCTTATCTCAAAGATTACCTACCTCTAAGGGGTATGTTAAACTGCCTCGTCCCCAGAAAATGATTTCACATACGAGTCACTATATAAAAGGTTTACATGAAGTGGTGCGTCACATTATAGGTGCGCAAAGGGGAATGGGATACACGCGTAAAAATTGAGAAAATCAACAACTTCTTGTTCCAAGTTGATATCGACAGGCGTGAACAATGTTGTGCGGCCAACTGTGAACAGTATTGTCAACATGTTGTTACAGCATTGTTCGACTGTAACAACTTGGAACAACATGGTTGACAACTTGTTCATAGTTGGCCGCACAACATTGTTCACGCCTGTCGATATCAACTTGGAACAACCTGTGCGTTTTTAGCCGTGTATGAGCGTTCGTTTTGTTCGTCGCGATGCACTACTTCATGTAAACCTTTCATATAGTGACTCGCACGAAATTTTTTATTAGTACCTGGGGACGAGGCAGGGGGTTATATGGCTTTACGTTTTAGCCATTTCCCAAAAACTAAAATTGGCGAAAATGGAAAATTAATGGCGAACCAGCCAGACAAAAGCTAGGACTTACGCATACCATACTTTTACCATGGATTGTAAAATAACTGGAGGGAAACTTCCTGACGTCATTGACCTCATCCTTGTTGAAAAACGTGACGTCACGCGCATTGCGAATATTACCAAAGTTCTCGGCATTTTTGTTGTTTTGCCATATTTTCCACTTTAAAAGGGTGATATTGAAGCATAAACTGGTTTCACATGCCGTTTTTGAGACTTTGGTTTGCAACTAGGTTTGAACATCAGCCATTGAAAACATTAGGTCACATCAGCTAGTTTCCTATCCATTTATTTTATTATCCATGCTTTTACACATGGCATATACCTTAGGCACTAGCCTACCGTGGACTACCTTCAGGGCCGTCGCTAGGGGGAGGGGGGTAACACCCCATAAAAACAAATTGTCGGCAAAATAACGGATTTGTCGGCAAATTGTTTTCGTAGTCAGCGAAAATATTTGAGTGCCCGGGATTAAAAAGCAATAGTTATACAGCAAAAATTTGGACACATTTTCGAAAACATTACCTCGAAATTCTCCTTATATTTTTGAGGTAACCTAATGTAGTCTAAGGTAGTTTCAATGAACATTTTAAAACGTTCTGCATTTTAAAGTTTCGTGCTGCAATTTTTAACAAACCTACTTAATATATTTTAGAAATTGATATTTCTATATGGTTAAACTTTCGTTCATTTATTTTTTTACCGTTTTGTACAAAAAGTTTTATACAAAAACAATGTGAGAAACACGAGCCTTCGTTTAGTGTTGGCGCAATTCGGAATATTTCATGTTAAAACAATGTTTGGAAAATAAAAGCGAGGGTTGCCGCATGCATGTATTTCTAGTATAAACAGTAGAGGGAGAGTCCTCAAAGCGGAAAACGTAACTGGTTGAATAATGACGTATTTTTCCCCTCCTGGTCTTGAGAAAAATAACGACTAAAAACTCTTTATTCTAAAATACCTTATTTAATCTCCATGGTTGAGATACATTAAATTTGGTAGTTCTTTCTAATTGAAAATGCACACACTCACAAATATATAATATACTTTCAAATAAGACATCTTTGTACAAATACTTTGTGTGAATGGGAGATCTCTACTGCTAAAACTACAATCGCTTATCATTAATTATTTATTCGGGCTGTATACAAATATTGAAATCCATTACGTTTAGAAAATTTCATTGTCGTACGCTTTGGGCGACGACACATTGTTAAAATCCAGGCCGCGTTCGGCCAATATGCTATTCTAAAGTATAAACATTTTTCTCGAAAAAGGAATCCTATAAATTGTCTACATATCTCGACAGTTGGTCTGATGGAGTTAATGGCGCTATTGCATCGCTTTCGTCTTGGTCAAGTTCTGGCGAGGCGAGCGGCGGTATCTGTTGTATTCTTCTGTTCGATCCAAATGGATCTGTTAAGTCATTTGTATCAAGTGCGCCGGACGACGGACGTGGGGAGGCGATTGTATGTGGTGACGTAAGCGTTGGTTGAGTATGTGGTGACATGACAGACTGTCTTGGTGATGGCGACATAGTTGGTTGCCTTGGTGACGATGATGGTTGTTGAAGGGGTTGCGGTGATGGTGACATTACGGACCGTGGTGATTGATTAGTTAGTAATGTTCCCGCCTGTTGAGGCGGAGTGCTTTGTGGCGACATTAACCTTTGTTGCAATGTTTGTTTATTAGCAAAATGTTGCTGTGGTCCTGCTTGCGGTGGCTGCAACAATTGTCCACTTGACATCGGATGCTGTTGCATCATGTTAAATTGAAGTTCTTGTTGTGCCATTGGTAGGCGACGTTGATTGCTAGATGCAAATGGAGACGGCTGTTGCATCGGGTTGTACATGTTCTGTTGCGTTGGCTGCTGCTGTTGCATGCCTTGCATTCCGTTTGTACTACCGACCATGTTCTGAACGTTTTGCATAGTTGCCATATTTGGCACAGTCTGTTGCATTCCCTGCATTGACTGCACAGTTGACATGTTGTTCATAGTGTTCATATTAGACATTCCATGTACATTGTTCATACCATTAAGGCTAGCCATTGCCTGACCGCCTTGATGTAATCCAGGTAAATTCGACGCTGCTTGCAACGTCTGTTGGTGTAATTGTTGCTGTTGTTCTTTTTGTTGTTGTACTTGCTGTGCAAGTTGTTGCGCTTGCTGGTGTTGTAACTGTGCTTGTTGTTGTTGTTGTGGCGTCAGTCTCATTCGTCCGGGCCACTGCTGTTGCATCATTGGTTGAGAAACCGGTTGATTTTGCATCATTTGTTGCAGTTGTTGTTGCTGCTGCTGTTGCTGTTGAACCTGCTGCTGTTGCTGTTGGACCTGCCGCTGTTGTGCTTGTTGCTGTTGTTGCTGCTGCTGTTGACGTAACCGTAGAAACATAGCCATGAGTTGCGGATTCTCCCTCATCATTTGAAGACACTCCGCAGTTTGCTGCCCTTGATTGTTTTTCAAAATGTTTAAAATCCGCGTCATCTGCTCCTGGAGATGTGAACGTGATTGCCGTATCGGCCTTGGTTGGCTAACCATGGGATTTGTTGGAGCGCCGTACATTGGTGGTTGTTGCGATGTTAGAGGCTGTTGAACCTGGTTATTACCGTTATACCAGTTTCGCGTTGTAGTCTGCGCTGTTTGCATTTGTTGTTGGACATTGGGTTGGCCTCCCACCACAGGCATATTTATATTAGGCCTCAATGGATTGCCAATCATAGCACCATTCATTGTTGGAGCGTTCGGGAATGGATTCACAGGTCCTGTAGGTATATTTGGTCGATTGGCAGGCGTTGGCAATGTTGGTCTCCCAGAGGTCACTTGTTCAACAATAGCTTGAGCAGCAGCTACAGCATTAGGGGGTGCTACACCGGCTGATACCGGCGTCATCTGAGATTGGCCATAACTAGGCGGGCGAGGTGGTAAAGAAGAATGATGTGGTACACCAACCCCTGGGTTTACCATTCCCGTGGGGTTAGTCGGAGGTTGAGGTGGCGGCGGCGGTGGCGGTTGTTGTATACTACGCATAACAGCCATACGACGACGCATTAATTGTGCCTGATGAAATTGTTGTTGCATTTGTTGTTGTCGGAACTTCGTCTTAATATGTCGACAATATGGAACAACACATTCCTGTTCTCGACAATGTTTCGCGTGGTAGCAACAGAGAGCGATAAGTTGCTTGCAAATCGGACAACCATTATTGCCTTTCCTTTTGCAACTTTTCGTATGCTCCACAACTCGTTTCATTTTCATGCAGCTCGCCAAATTGCAATTCTGCGCCCTACAGTGGGTAGCATGGACAAGAGAATCGATACAACGTTGAATCGACAACCGCCGTTGTTCTTGAGAATTATTTGGCTGTGCTGTTTGATTCTTCGTAGTTGTTTGTTGATCGACATCCAAGTCGAAACCAAGTTTCTCCATTTTGTGCTCATGTCCTTTCTCGTTGAAACATGGCACGCATAAGTCGAAGTCCTGATAAAGAAAGAAACTAATGTTAATAACTAATAGCTAATGATTAATAATTAATAATCTTGCTATTCGTTAGAGCTCGTGGAACCAGGGTATCTGATTTGTTGTCTATTTAAAAACTTTCACTTCCGTTCATATTCAAATTTTTAGAACTTTTCGGACAGTTCACCTGTTGGTCTTCATCCTTTATAGATGTTGTTATTTACATTGCTAGGGTTGTAGTTCTGCAAATAACGAACATCTACAGCGTGGTGTATCCGAAACGTTGCAAAATGTAATAAAATAATAAACCGCGATCATTATATTCTTACTAAAACAAACGTTGTAGAAATTGAAAATATTCTGCCCTGCTCTGTCTTGTTGCGCAATTCTGTTACAACAAACCAGGGCTCGCCAAATCGCCTCCCCGACGTCCCGAGGCAGCTAAAATTTCTGTGGGGCAACTAAAGTCCTTTGACTTGCGCCCCATCGGGAACCAGACATATTAACCAGGATTAATAAATAAACATACTTTCAAAAATCTTGCTACTTCGTCAATGTATTTAACAAAGCTGTGGCCACACCAAAAATTTGGTTGGCCAGAGCATTTCGGATTGACACACCCGAATTTAAGTGAAAGACGAACAATAATATAAAGTGACGTTTATTACCTTCACTACAATTCGCGATAAACTCGCGCTAGCGTAAATAATAAACAGGACATATTTAAACAAAAAGCTATCGGATCGCGCATCAAAACCATTCATACAGTATCATCAATTTTTGTTCAATTTCACTACATTTGACAACTCATCCTCCGCCAATACCTTGATTTTCAAAATTTTGGCAGTCCTGAGAAACACCACGTTTTTATTAGTGTTCCAACAGAAAAAATCAATTTCTTGTCATGGAAACCAAGAAGAGAACTTCAATGCAAACGTAGAAAGAGCTTACAACTCGATAAACATCTTACCTCGCATTCGCTGCAGTGGTACCTCGTCTCAACATGTCTTTTGCAAAGATTACACGAATAAACGAAGCGATCTTGTCCTTGGTTATGCAAATCAAACATCATGCACATTGTGGAATATTTGGCTCGACGTAATGACGAGAACTCCCAATGCTTGTCACGTGCTAACGTTAAGAAAGCATCACGGCCATCCATTAGGTCACATGACATGGGCGGGTCAGGATCTACAGTTTCAGGCAAGGTAAGTATGTCTGGTTCTTCGTACATCCGAATAACAAAGAAAACCTGGTAATAAAATATAACGAACATTAAAATATACATGCTAGAATGATGCACAACACGGTTCGCAGTCTCAAAAACAAAAAATATTCAACAAGAAATACAGAGAGCAGTGAACCGCTAATAAATTGCCTTCAACAGAGAGCAATCGACCGCTACGAACCTTGTTTAACAATTATTGCATGTATATTAGGAAACGTGCTTAAAAAAGTGAAAAAAGCCTATCTTAAGAATCAGCCTAACAAAGAAGCCTAACAAAGAAATTAATTTAAGAATTAATGTAATTCCATAATATCTTTTTACACTAATTAAAGGTGCAAGTTCAACTACAATATTATAATGTCCGAAGGAAAACATGTGCAAATCCCAATTCCCAATCGATAACAACGCTCAGCTGATAACAAAATGCTTATTCTGTCCTACAATAACCACTTATTAGCTTACACAGTCATTCATAACAAAAGTTTCGTTGGTAGGGATACAACTACCTGAAAAATAAAAGGAGAAATTCGACGTTTCGAGTTCTAACTAGTACTTGCCTACAAACTTCCCAACGAAGGGCTTTCGCTCGAAACGTCGAATTTCTCCTTGCATTTTTCAGGTAGTTGCATTCCTACCAACAAAAGTCTTGTTTTTATTGGCACTGCCTACACTGGGTCAGTCCGTTATGTCATTCATGTTTACTCGTCATAAGAAAGGTTTCTTTGACGTAGGTCAACAAAAAATATTCAATGCTGAAACGCATGACACCATACCTCTTTGTGTTTTTCCATGGTGTTGTAAAGTCTCTGAGTTAATTCACAAACATTCAGCCCCAGACCATTGGGCTTCTTCGTATTCTTTCGCTGGTTGTTTTTCTTACTTCCTTTCTTATTGTTGTTTCTCTTGCCTGCTTTATTTTTATTTCCTTTGCTGTTGCTCTGTTTTAACAAATATTGATGACGAAAATATTAAAACGTAAAAGACTAGTTTGAGAATGATGCATTTACTTCATAGATGTATTTATAGCAATAATTCGATTTTACAATAATCATTTTATTGAACTTAGAAGTCCTTACGTCACATCACTGTACTGTCAAACAATGAATATTTGACACACATGTATCCCACATTGCATTGCGAATACCTAATGTTTAGATGGATTGAAAATTGCGTGACGTAAGCACTTCTAGAGTCACTTATCGTTGCAGTCCGCCGTCTATTTTCCCCAAATATAAATTCAAATATAAATTCAAACACACACATAAATCTGTTATCTGAGAATTAGACTGCTGAAACGAAACATAATTTGACATTACAAATCGCGAGTTATGGTGTTAGTTTTGACCAGATACTTCGACCGTGGCATTGTAGATTAGCGTTTATCGCTGTAATCGGCAACAAAATTCAGAGTACGATTCCAAATCCAACCGTCCTCGTGTAACCATAACGTAAAATTATTTGTTATACATACCATATCTCCTGCCGCTTCAGCAAGAGCTGAGGCTTTCCGCTCTTCCTCCTCTTGATCCAGTTCCTTTATACTGTCTTCAAGTGCATTCGGCCAAAAATCGCCGTCGAAATATGGCAACTCTGTTGCCTTCTCAAGATTGTCGTCCAAAGCTTGTTGAAGAATATCCTGGCAAAATAATAATCGGTTTTTATTTCATTGTATTAAAATACTTTGTAATAAATACTCATAAAAATATTATTTGGGTTTTAAGATCTATGCTTATTTTTTATTAAAGGCCTAAAATCCAAAATACATGTGGCAAAGTGCGACTGTGATACCTGTAAACCTGTAATATACAGTTGTCTGATTACAATTTTGCCTCAGATACATACGAGAAAAGTTCATGACTGCTCCAGGTGGCTCTACAAATCACCGCAACTTTTTCTAGCAAAGTGGTCCGATTTCCTCCGCGTTATCAGAAGGAAATGCAGCTAAATATTATTCTCTGATGTGCAGTAACATAGGACCAGTAAGGGACGACCTCTCCTTTTCAAATTCTTACGAATATGAAAACGTTAGGTATAGTGAATCTAAAAGAGTAACTCAGAGATCTCAAGGATTGTGCAAAGTTGATGAGACAAATGATAAGTAAATATAAAGATTCATATTATGATACCCATTCGTACGAAATATACGAAATAAACACATGGCTATATGCAGTAAAATTAGCAAAAGTAATAACGAACGTCCACTGTATTCTTTCAAGTTTCGTTCATTTTTCAAAGATTCATATACTCAAGGCCACGAGCGTTTCTGATATGTACTAAGCTCTTAGTTCGGAAAGAGTAATCACATGCACGGACTGGTGTCTAATATTTCATATACATTTGTCACAGTCTGCATGTTTTGTTTTTAATACTTATCGGTTATACATAGACAGTCCCATAGAGATATGCTACAACGCTTAAGTAACTTGATGCATTCTTATAATATATAAATGATAAATATTCTGATAAGTTCTTGATATATTCCCAACTATTTCAGTCTCAAACAATTTCTTCATTTGTCACGAATTTTACCGCGTTTTTCTGTGGATTTTGTATTTATCCTACTCTGCACTTTCTTGGTGTTCTTTTTCGTGCAACGTCTCTGGAAAATGCGATATCAGGATCGCCGAGTTTTTCAAATTTTATACGTTACGGACAATGTTGTCTGCGTTAGTGCATCGCATGCTCAGAGACCATGTACATTTATGGATAACGTTTGTATTTGTGAGTAATACTTGTGTTTCATTGGACAATACGAAAACATTTCCTCAGGATAACTTAGGTAGTATCCCACCCACTCATGTATCGATCACGCCACGTTTTCAGCCTTTCACGCTTTGCGTTCGCGGTTCACGATTTGTAAGTACTGTAAGTAAGTAAGTAAATAAGTAATACGTGCTATTACACCGTAGTGCGCAAGTACAGTATGTCGTCATCTTCAGGTCAGTGTGAACGCCTGAGCAGGCGTCTTGTTTAATATGTAATGATTAGACACAAACATTTCATCCCAGCACATTCGGATGCCGTGACTAAGGAATGAATGACTTATTATAACAAAGGAAGAATAACCCATGCGATTATCCTACAATACCTTGTATTCTACAACAATGCTTTCTGCAGCAGCTTTGTCCAACATTTTCTTGTACCAATCCACAAGACGTTTGTGACGTGGGATCTTCTGCTCAGGAGGATGACAATGAAAGATGTAGTCATCACCTTCACATGGTGGACATGCCCAAATATGCGCCCAAACGTATCTAAGAGAAATTGATTACATTCGTAATAATCCTAATAGGAAGTGGATTTACTGTCAATGCATGCAAACCCAGTTGTCAGGTGGAATACATTTATTACAGGTGATTGTGGTCGAGAATACATATTTTCAAAGAAAGCGACAGAAAGATGATGATCAAGTAAAATTGAAAACTATTAGTGACAATATCGCAAAGGTGTACAATGTCGTCTTTATTGACTCTTCATCATGCCGTACTATAGTATACGAAACCCGGGCATATAAAAAAAACTGGACGCACGTATTTGAACGAAAACTATCGAAAATAATCAAGTGACCACAAATAAATAGGGCACACGAGATACTCAACAGAGCATTGACTTTCTGCACATGAGCATTCTGCCTGAGTAATATTCACAAAGAGAATCAAACCCATCATCCTACTGTATATTTGAAACATGCAGATCAGAGTACACTGGAGCAGGGCTCGAAATAGCGGGCTGCCAATGGCCAAAAGCAGGCCATATTTCAGAAATGGCAGGTAAAATTCTATAGATATATTTAATTTCATTTGCTTACCACAACTCATGTACAGTATACTAGATCATGACAAATAAAGTTATGGGCTCCGCTATCGTACATATACTTAATTTTATCACTATAATATATATATATATATATATATATATATATATATATATATATATATATATATATATATATATATATATATATATATATATATATATATATTTAATATATATATAACGACATACCCTAATTTCCTCGTATACTCCAAGTATCCGATCAGAATCTCGTGGTATACGGCCGTTCGAAAATGTCGTGGTTGAAAGAAATGAACACTGTCCAAGTAGGAAATGTACACTCGACGCGTGTTTGGCACAGGACAGTTAGAACCATACTCCTGAACATGCATGCCAAAGAAACAAACATCTACACCATCGATTTCTTCGAATGCAAAAAGAGCCTTGGCACGATACGGAAATCCGTCTTGGGCAGAACTGTCAAATCTAAAATAACAACATGTGAACAGGTTCAGACCTCTAAATCAGCACCACGTCGGCATATTTAAGACTTTTAAATAAAATGTGCCTGTAGTAATATTTGAAATCATTGCATGTCAGACTTCCCGCTGCAAGCAGAAGGTAATGTAATCACGACTTTTCAAACATAACCTGTTAGCTACAATTGCGGCATCTGAGGACTATAGGCTATGTTAGTGCCTGTGTTAGACCAAATAAATCAAAATGGCCGCCTTTATATTTTGGTAGCTAAAATATTTACTATTGAAACAGAGGTTTTGAAATGTTAGGTCTCTCTGAATATAGATAACATAAAAAACATGCAAAATTTATGCAAAAGTAGAATGAAATGCATGATCACTGAGATATTTTAGGGCTTTAGAATTAGTTGATTATTTTAATTTTTTTCTCAGTCGCCACGAGAGCTACCTTGCAAATACCTGTTCGCCAGATGAAAAATTTAGTCGCCCTCTCATTTCCCTCTCTGTATTGAAATAAACCCAGATCTGACCTGACGTGAACAGCAATGCTAATAAACTAGAGCGCACCTTGGTTTCATTCCCTGTTTAATTTCTGCGACCTTTTCAACACTGGATACTACACGTATCGTGACTTGACCAGCGCCAGAATTATTCTTCTTTAAAAATTCGTTAACTCTGCTCTCTAAAATTTCTCCTAACTTCGTGTGCGGAAGGCCTGCAAGACATAAGGCAGATTTGAAATAGGACCACACAGGGAAATAATTTAATCAAATACTATGGAAATTCGGTGGTGCTCGGTAGCAAGAGCTCCAATCAGTCCAATGTAACGTCGTGAAGAGCCCGAACCGAGAATCCTGTTCAATACATGGTCTCAATTTCCCCTTCCCTCTTGAACTTTTAACTGCTGATTACCAATCCTGACCGAGTCATAAACTAGGAAGAAAGTGCTAGTGCATGCCCGTAGATGGGGGTCCAGGGACTACCAAGCGAAACCTAGTAGCACGGAGATGAAAATGGATCCTGGAATCGAAATCCAACTGGCTCTCTAACCTCTGCACCCAAGTGCTAGTAAGGTGTTTGCGAGCGACAACCTGCATGAAGTTTATGATCTTTACATTTTTTCGAATATACCGTGACAGTAGAGCGCTTCCATTTACATAGTCAGTCCAGTTAGATCAGAAATTATGTCTTCCTGATTTATGACAGGTTTTTCAGAAAATCTGGTCACCCCATACTTTAGCTCTAAAATTTTGTATTCTATTTAATAATTTGCCCGTAATGAATAACACATATAATACATACGTTTCGAGTTATATTTGTTATCTTTTTTCACCAGACCTCGCCTTTTAAGACACGATTCGCACTGAAATCTAGAAAGAACAAAAGAAAGAGTTTAGCAATTTCGACACAATATTATTACAGGGTACCTGACTGGTACGCCTATGATTACTGCCGGGTGCTTGCGGTACTTAGTCTTTAAAATAAAGTACACTGAGTACACGTTTCTGAAAGGTATTCAAACTACGAGTTAGAACAAGCAGAACAATTTCATCCATACAAACACTACAATCGATCCCAACATTCCCTGGCGCCACTAGTCCAGTCGTGTTTCATGTTTTAGAGTTCTTGTAGTTTTAGACTATGTAGTTTTTACCATACGTATATGTACAGTCACTTTGTGGAAGCTCTATATATTAAAGGGCATATGACTCGAAAATTGATGGTGTTATTTTTTAGTCTAATTTGAAATATCATTGAAAACTGTACAGTTAACGTCTTTGACAGATTTTTGCAACAAGCAAGAAAACTTGCTTCGTTTTGGAGATATTTCATTTTGTATGATATGTAAAGGACCAACTTTCTACGTCACACATGCATAATGACTTACTTTAAAATGTTATATAATTTTGTCACTATCAAATAAATTCGCCCAAAATGAATGAATGAGCACGAGATTTGTCCACAACAAAACACAATCAGCAGAAAACCTACATGGGTGTGGTCGTATTAAAGATATACAGCTTTTAGGGCTAAATCATTATGCATATATGCGACGTAGGAAGCATGACAAAATGAAATATCTTCAAACAAAAATCTATCAAACAAGTTACTCTACAGTTTTCAATGATCATTCAAATTAGACTAAAAAATAACACCGTCAAATTTCGAGTCATATATGCCCTAAAAATCATTATTATTATTATTACTTACTTACTTATTTACTTACACGTATACCGGCTAATTTACGGTTTTGAATACCTTAACTTGGGCTTGGAAAGGTCATGTGGTAACATCAAGTAAATATGCAGATCAGCAGATAGCAGCAGTTCCGCGTATACGGTGCCCGAAAACAAAGACGTATCAGAGCGTAATATTGGTGTAAGTACGCAAATTATCGCAACCTGATTATTACATTTTCTCCACCATCACATCCACACGTATTATGATGAGGTTATATGAAGGCAGAGTGCAGAAACGTGAATGCTAAAGCCTGCCGCACACGAGAGAAACTTGCTGAGCTAACCGCCTCGCGTGGCGGCCAGCTCAGCTATGCATTTTCAGCGCACACGTTGGGAAAATTACTCAACAACAACATAATTGACAAAATCGTTTGCATTTTCCTCCACTTTGTTCAAAGTCACACGAGGAAACTATGGTGTCTCATTGGCTAATTGATTGAAGCAGCTCAGCACTAAGCTCACAACATCCGCAGACGTCGAGTTTTTTTCCTCGCGAGGTGAAAAATATCAAACACGATAGACATTTTCCTCAAGACGTCAAATCCTCACGAAAACTATCCGCACACGAGAGAAACGTGCTGAGCTAGATGCCACGCGAGGCGGTTAGCTCAGCAGGTTGCTCCCGTGTGCGGCAGGCTTAACATAACATTTCCTTACCCAGTGTTCCAAATTGAATCATGATGTAAAACACAGATCTGATGGTTCTTCCTCCCGCAATCCACACACTCGATCAAACTACAGAGCGAAAGAAATAACAGAAATAGTAAAGCAACAATACATCAATTTCATGATATTTGATGAGGTAAACGTGTTTCATTGAACATGGGTGGATAAAATCATTCTGTGAGCACAAATCTGTGAGCACAGCCTGCAGATAAAAATTTCCTGCAAACCTGGAATTTCATGCTTAAATCTAACCATGGCCCCCAAAAGTATTGTGCATAGTTTGAAGCGAGTAATAATATGACTGTCAACTAGCAGTGTGCATCGGATCGGAGGTTTACGATCCGACAATTGGTCATTTTTTTGAGATCCGAATCCGATCCGAAAGCGTTCTGATCCGAAAAAAAATCCGATTTAATAAATTAAACTTTGCAATCAAGTGTATATAACTGTATATCAATGTCAAATTTTTAATTTCTAGATTCTAGACTCTAGTCTTGGCAGATGCCACGCAATCTCGCGTCAAAAGAACTCACATCTTTTATTCTTTGCAAATACGGTTAGACAACAGACAATTAGAAATAAACAAAATGGAAAAATTGCTAAACGGAAGCGCCGTAAGCCTTTAGTTTTCACAGCAGCCCTGGTTATCGAAGTCCAATCCGATCCGAATACGAAAGTACTTTTCCAATTCGATCCGATCCGAAGTGAATATCGTGGCTCCGAAATCCGAACGAATCGGATTCGGATCGGATTTGCACATCTCTGCTGTCAAGCATGAATTGTTACTCCTTTAGGATTTTCTTCAAATTTTCAAATCACAAATATCTTTTTGCGATTTTTTCAAATATTTCTGCCTGCGGTGCTCGGGTGCTTGTTCCACCTCTGCCCACATGACCTACTGACAATATTTGTCATTAATCCTTACCCTCACAAGGGCAGTGGAAATTGTTTATGAAACTTATTGTCTAGCAATGTTTGAATGTAGGACATTTCGTTGCAAGAGGTAATAAACTGCGCAATAGATTCATGAAACATAACGATTTCGTACATATTTGTGTACACATCGTGTAACGGCGTCTTAAATACATCACGCAAAGGAGAGTTGAAGTACAGTAGAAAAGCTAATACCAGCCACTATATACAAGCCTATAATTAATATGAATAATACCAGTGGACACCATGGGGGGGCAATAATTTTCGAAAACCTATATGACTGATAGCTGAATAACTGTGTAAGGTATACACATGGTACTGATGGCATGGGCGGATTTACTTGGGGGGTTAACCCTCCCCCCTAGAATCTCTCTAACCCCTATTATACGATGTTCAACCCCACCAAAATTTCGCTTCACCCCTCCTATATTTTGTGTGAAAGTCTTTAACCCTAACGCCTAACCCCTGCCGAAGCTCGCTCAGTGGTAGAAATTTTTCCACCCCTCCCTTTAAAAATATGAAAATACGCCCTTGACTGATGGTAGGTTATAGACTAAGCTATGTATTGCACGTACAAGGCAAAAAAATTTAAACTTCAAAGAACTAAGATTTCCAGGAACAGAAGGTGATCATTCGTTCACCACTGAATAATACATACGGTTCTGGATCCAGATGATTGTTTGTTAACCTTTCAAAACTACCCTTCTGTATACAACCACTGAAAATAAGAATAACCAAAAATCTATAAATGTGCAAAATGCAATTTCGACATCCTATACTATTTTTGGTTGGCTGCTGAATTAGGTGTTCAGGCCGCGTTTACACTGTAACGCTTCGGCTATAGCATTCCGTTAAAATTTTACTATGTTTCTTAGTATTGCATGTGTTTACACTAATAGAGACCTCACGATTTTAGGACGGCAACGCGACGGTCAAAACAAACTCCTTCAAATAAATGGTAGTAAAGATAGTTCGTCGTATATTATCAATCGTATGAATTTAATACAGTTTCAGAAGTTGAAAACGTGGGTTTTATGATTGGGAAGAGTTCTGCTAAACCCAGTTTGGAGTTGCACTTGTTGTGGGTTGGGATGCAGCCGCTGTATCAATACGCGAAAATCTGTGATTTAGCGTTGTAAACAGAGCGAGGACAATATTCTTTTCAATGATCTATTGCATTGGTAGCCGTTGCCGTCCTAAAATCGTAAGGTATCTATTATAACGGAGTGGTTTGCAGTAGCGTACCAACTACGGACCACTACGTTTGGCACTATATATACGGCTGCAAATCAATAACGCTACGACAAATTCGCGACAGTGTAAACGTTACCTTATTCAACGCATAGAAAAAGCCTAGAAAAATTTGGAAGTATATGGAGCTTGATTTGGTAAAAGTGATGTACATTTCATGCACATTTCCATACATCAGTAGCTAAAACATGCACTACAAAAAATCCCTGAGTATTTCGACTCGAAACCTTGAGTAAAATAATGTACCATAGTGCAGTGAGTCAGTGACTCGAAATATTGAATAAAATTTATTTGCGAATTTACCTCACTCTTTCGTAAAGTTTCAAATTTACTAAATGTTTTGAGTAATGATCTACTTGACGCAAAAATAATTTTACTCAATATTTCGAGTCACTGCATATGGGCGCATTATTTTACTCAAGTTTTTGAGTCAACATTTTTGCATGCGACTGCATTTGCGAGATCACAATTACCTGCTAGGATTCATGGGATCATCTCCCAATTGAACACTATCACCTGGAAGTTCGTTAAAACATCTCTCACAATAATGATATCTGAAAGAATAAAACAAGCAATAGGTTAGCTTTGAAACATACCTATAAATAAATTGAAAAAAAAAACTGATATGAAAATGCCCAACAACAATAACAGAAATGGCCCATCATATTCGAGAGTTTGTCGGTTAACCGGGTCAAATCCGAGTCCGAGTCAAATGTCCGAGTCACTGTTTAGCGGTCTTTGTAGTTCGATGACTTATAGTACTCTAACTCTATTCGATTGTGAATTATATTCAATTTCGTCTTTTTTACGTGACTCGGACATTTGACTCGGGCTCGGAATTGACTCGGATTTGACTTGGTAAATGGATTTACTCTCATAATCGAGCAATCCATGTCAAAAATCGATTGATCAACTGTAAATACTACTGTGAATTAATAAAGAAGAGTTCACAATCGGTTGACGTCGGGGACAAATTCCCCCGGAAAAAAATTTGGGTCTCTGAAACGGCGTTTCTTGCATCGTGGTGGCGGCACATGGAGTACATTTAAAGGTAATAGTATCAAATATTGATTTCACAATACTTGAACACTGCCTGCTAAATCATGTTGAGAGCTGAGACAATTTTCAGTCTTCAAGCAATGTTTGAAAGCCGTAAGGTGAACGTTACTGTCGTTGAACCGAAAAAAATAAGAAACGATTTCTACCCAACAAATAGTCATGCATGCATGTGGTCAACCAATAGTTATGCATACGCGCTTCAAGTTTAAAAAATATATACAGTTGAAGTACTATATATTTAAAACATGAGCAGCAGTGTTTTATCAGATATAAAGATACGAGGCGAAGCAGAGTATCTTTAGGTCTGCTAAAACACGCACTGCATGCGAATGTTTTAAATTGCTTCAAAAACGATCGATCTAGTATAAGTTCATTGGCGAAGTAATTTTCAAAAAATACGTTGTGTAAGTCGAGAAAATCACAAAGTTAAAGTTTATGTAAATCAAGGGAAATCTCTATCACATATAAAGATACGAAACGCTGATGATTTTTCTTTGTGTTTTCCTCATGGATTATCGAGTTTTGAAATTTATTTAAAAGCAAACCTGTTTTGGTATGTATAATAAGGTGCATCTCTTGTTATTGTACATAAGTGCTTTCCAAAGCAACATAAAACTTGGGGTTGAAATACAAACTACAAAATGATGAAAGTATGTTATATGTTAAACAGCAATATTATTAAAACCTGTATATAAAATTCATTTTCCATCTATACAGAAAATTTTAATGGTTGTCCCAAATTGTTTTCCAAGTAATATTGAAAAGTTTGAGGTTCTTCAAATTAAAAATTTAAAATAATATTTTTGTAGACGGGCTACGTTTTACTTACTTTATGACCACAACAATATCCTAGAGTTCGCATTACAACATCTATATCTTGCTCGAAAATTTCAGACAGCTAAATGATGAAAATATGTGAAGTTCAACATAACGTGCCCAATTTCAAATGAAGAGCATGCATCAGCCAGTTACGGGCTGTTTCTGAATGGCAAAATAATCAACTATATAAATACTATATTATTTACTATTATTTAACGCATCACTGTAATGTAAATAATTATTACGAATATCTAACGCACATGGACATCAACTCAAAGGATTAATGCTTAGGGAGATTCGTTGTATAAAGACTTGATGACATCAAGTCTTGATGACTGACATCAAGTCTTTATACAACGACCCCCTAAACATTAATCCTTTGATATTTGTGATGTTACATGTACTGGAGTGTATATCCACACCGGGCGAGCTTGAATAATATGCCCGGCCACGGTGGGAATCGAACCTACGACCTTTGGAATACTTGCCTAATGCTCTGCTAACTAAGGAACGAAGGAACTAGATTCTGTTCCGAAATATCACATACTTGAACCTACCTGACCGCGTAGCTCAGTTGGCAGAGCATTGGGCTAGTATTCCAAAGGTCGTAGGTTCGATTCCCACCGTGGCCCGGCATATTTTTCAAGCTCGCCCGGTGTGGATATACACTCAGAGTAACATCACAAACATCATATTCACCCGAGTACATAACACCAACACAGAAAAAAAACAACAAAAAAACTTTGATCTTGTTGAAAAGTTATTACTCACCTTGGAACAATATTTATAAACCTTGGACGTTTTACGGTTGTACAGCCACGCATTGTCAAACATTAACCACACATCGTCACAGTACTACAAAACAGAATTATAATAAAACTTAGGCATGAACGAATACACGAGTTTTGCAGTTCTCATGTTAGTCAGTATTGACGGAGGTTCTCGGGTTCCGAGCGTTTCCGAGGTATCGCGAAGCGTGGACAATAGTTTGTGTTTAGAAAAAGTTTCTTTTAAAGCAGTGAAATTTAAAGTGTCAACCGTCGTGCTTTGCACGCTCAAACCTACTTCGCGGCCATTTTAATGGTCGACTAATGTAGGTAATAGGTTTCCGTTTTCAATCCATAATATATTTCAACCATCCTATGGGCATACTTGCTCATTTTAATTTATTTATACTGAAAATGCAGCTCTGCGATTCCTGCGGCTCTGCGATTCCGGTGCAGCGCCCAAACCAACTGAGCTACAGAGTCCAGCTGTCGAGCTCTAACCACAAGGTCTTGTATTATATTGTGTGTGGTACCAGTATAACAATTTTCCTGAAATGTAACCAGGCCCGGGACCTAACCAAACCTATTGCGTGATGTTCTTAAATTAGATATTATGTACATATACATATACATATATATGTGTCTATATGTGTGTATGTTCGCGCAACAACTACTTGTAAATTTGTAATTGTACTTGTTTGTACTTGTAAATTTGTAAATCGTACGTTTTGTCATTTTGGGATCGCATAATATATATATATATATATATATATATATATATATATATATATATATATATATATATATATATATATATATATATATATATATATATATATATATATATATATATATATATATATATATATATATATAGAATTATTGTTATTTGTCATGTATTCTTGTTGTGACAAAGCTTGTAAAACTAAAATTATAAGGTATGGGTAAATATCGAGATTTCTTTAGGTATCTCGCTCGATAGAACTAACAGTTGAAAGGTTTTTTTGTAGACGGAGTACACATACCTCCCAAGGATCCTTGTACATGCCCGTGTCCAACTTCCTCTTGATTGTGGTTAAATCCATCGGCTTCTTTATGATGTCGAAGTAATCCTGAATGGATTTGAAATATATATAATTAACCGAGAGACTGATTACATGGAGTGTTCAGCGCAGGCCGAGTCTCAGCCTGATCAGCCACAGCTGAAATTTCACGAGGTTATGCAATAACCAAGGCTAAAGCCCTGGGCAAACTAGGAAACATTGTTGTGGAAACATTTGTGATTCTCGATGTTTCCTCAAATGATTCCCTGTTTGCCTACCCGTGGAAACATTGTTGCGGAAACAAAATTTGTTTCCTGAGGAGCAAAAATGTTTCCTAGCGAATTCAGAAACATTTGATGTTTCCCTATGTTTCTCACTAATGTTTCCTAGTATTTGCCCACTCTTGGAAACATGGCGAATTATTGGTAGGAAACAATGTTTCCCAGTTTGCCCAGGGCTTAACAGCTATGTAAACATGCTTCGACACGTCAGCACGCCACGTAACCGAGGGGGGCGGGGGTATGTGACCAACCTCGTTCCCAGCTCTTTGCTCTTGGGAAGCAAAGACCCTGGTCGGAGCTGGTCACGTGAACCCCCAGATTTTGGGGGTAAATTGAATTTGACCTCAGGGAGGGGTAGTAGAGGAGTCTGTTTGTTGCGTTTGGAAAATTGCAACTTTATGTGTTATAATTTCGGGTGATAAAAATGTAATTTGCAACAAGAGATTGTGAAAGGAACTGTTTTAAATTGTACCGATCATGACAAGACGTCCTGCTGTACTGAATGTCATCAATAATATTAAGTGTTGCGGTACATTTCAAGCGAGAAGCTGGATCATATTTCACTTCCAAGGAAAGCACTCCACACGCGCCTGGCTTGCGAAGTTTAGCACGTATCGCCGTAGAAACATACATATCTTCTACACAGAATGATCGATCAAACGGTATTAAACGAACGATATGGTTCTTTCTAGTTTATAGTTGAAGTGTATCCTGTGCGATATTCAAAACAAAAGATTTATTTTATAACGGGATCCTTTGATTTCCCAAACATCGCCAACATGTGTAAACAATAGTGCTATTTTGACTGTAAAAGCACAGGATTAAAACCCGTTATGGACTGGCTATAAAATTCATTTCATTTACATTGCTGAAACTCAACGATCAAGAAAGATAATGTCGAAGTGTAGCTAGCTATCTGTTATCACACAAACGCCAAGACTCCTCCGTGCGTTTCCGTGCGTGCGGTACAACTTGAATATCTAGGACGATATATGCATCAGACACTGGTATTGTACTTTATATAAATTATTTCATATTTTGTGTATACAGTAATTTGCAACGTGTATAATATTAGACCTTTCATTGACATTGGCATTGTCCATTGAGGGCTTTATTGAAGAATAATCCAGCTTCTTTTGACTTGTATAATGGATTAATGCCGCTGTGAGTTATCAATATTTAAATCAACTTTAATCTTTATCGTATTCCGTAACCGACATTTTAGAAGTTTAGTCTGTTTTACCAAACAATACTGGAGGCAAACAACCTATCTATCAATGGAAACTTTAAAAGGTTTGTTACAGCCGTAAAACTCATTAATATAAGCGAGACTTCGTGTGCATATACAGTTTATGAATTATGTATATTGTCCTGATAAAACGTAGGACACTTTATAGTTTTACCAGATGTAATAAAAAATACTTTGCTAAACCTTTTCTGCTGTCATTCCTTTGTATTTAAGGGGAGAGGGTAAATGGCGATAGAATTTATAGGAGATGCTGTGCAATATTTTGGCTTCAACAAACAGGTACTCGTGCAGACAAAAAAGAAAATTCATGCAGTTGTGAATTGTCGTATGTCAGCTGTGCACTGTCCATTTCAAACAATTTTGTACGTTATATTTTGTCTTCCCGGTGTTTAATATAAACGATGATAACCTTTTAAAAAATCTAGAGCAATATGTCTATAACTGAAACAGTTTTAGAATCAATAGAATGGACATTCAATGTGTATTTGGCTTGTGTCCAAATGTGTCACGTTTAAGACCGGCAAGGCGCTAATCCTACGACCTATAAACAGTCGCTTTTGAGACATCTGTTTAACAAAATTTATACCGTGTCCATATTAGAACAATTCATTGGCATATTATAAGCATATTATAAAAATCAGAGCCAGAACAAAAACGCACGCGTGAAATGAAACAACGCCCGAACCGGCGAACCCCCGAGAAAATAAAAATATTTCAAAGCGTACAGTCATACGTTCTCATTGCTTGATTGCCTGAATTTTCTGTTGCAATAAGAATCTGCATTTTAGCATGTTTGTATAATTTAAAAGCAAACAGAACCCAATTTATCAAGTAGTTTGAGGTATATATGATTCTCGAAGATGAATTAGATGATTGTACAGAACGGCCACTCCTTGCAATTGAAGCGCGAAGTGCGGAAGTGGAAACATGTAATATGAGACTTTTCCACCCCCCTCTTGGGCTATCAATTTTCTATGGGTCACGTGACCAGCTCCGACCAGGGTCTTTGCTTCCCAAGAGCAAAGAGCCTGGGAACGAGGTTGGTATGTGACTTGAGAGTGGTAGAGTGTTCGGCATCATTTATCGCGTGCGAAGAAAACGTATAAAAGCAATTATTGTTTGTCTTGTTTTCGTGATTCGTGTAAAATTTCCATCATTAATTGGTGTAAAGGTGTTAGCCCTTGAGGTGGTCAGCTCAAGATAACGTAAGTCCATGTAACAGAAGTCATCGCATGTCATCCTTCGGTCATGTGCATGGGCTAACACCTCACCATTGAAACGGGTAAGTATGGTAGACGAAGGTGTTAATGCCGGCCAAACTGAGATCAAATCCTATTACAACACAGCGTTCGATTACATGAAGAAAATTTCAGGCAGACCTTATCCGCGGCCAGAATCTTTCCTCGTGTAATCACACAGAAATTATAGACCGCGCTGAAATTGCCTTGCACTTTGCTAATACCTTTGTTTCATTCAATCATTTATGTTACAGCAGTAACATAAATTAAAAGTGGTCAATTAAAGGTCGATTCGTCAAATCGGCATTTAGAGGGATTAGAAAGAATCGCAGTAGCTTTATGGGGCGCATTGATCATGTCCATCAGAGATGTCAATTTTAGGGTTGATTTAAACTCAGGCATGGCTGAAACTCTAATGTAATATAATTCCTTACCATACATCCTAACATCTTGGGATCAACAGGTTGCCTAAATGGCAAAGCTTCAGGCTCCGTCTTGTAAAGCTTGTCAAGTGTAGGCATAAGATATCTTCTCAGTTCTTCGGGAAGGAAATGCTTTTTAAATGGATATCTCGCAGTGGTACTGAGTGCAGAATAAGAGGAATTTGAAGTAGAGGAAGATGGCTTCATCACTTCGTTCGGTTGCGATATAGGAGTGATAATTGGTTTAATATCGTTGGTTTGCGGTCGACTGGGAGAATCCGTAGTAGAAGCCGTTGTTTGACCAACAGTCTCCACCGACTGAAATATAACAATACACATACACATTACAACATCAGCCTTTAGCCTTATACAAATGATATTAGAGAGGATATTAGATATCAGATTTGACTTCCACAACCGCTACCTCTCACTGGCATACTACGCATCTGATTGGTTAATCGGATATATCAAACGCATCTGATTGGTTAATCGGATATATCAAACACATCTGATCCTCTTTATTATTAAGAGGAAAATTTTTTTTTCTGTCCCGTATTTGCGATGAAAAGTGTTCAAAACCGGAAAATCTTTTTGGCGTACCTCTCATAATTGCCTTGTTTTAGCTTTATTCCCTAGTTTATACAGTTAGCAACCTTTCTGAATGCATTTGCCGGTTAAGAAACATAAAATAATAGAAAAATATTGTCAATTAAAATACATTTACTAATGATGATTTAAAAGTGACGCCATGTTTACAGCAATATTAGCCCGCGTGCAGGCCGAAGGGAACTGATAGTGGGCCTGCAAGCAAGGCCCGGTATTTTGTAAAACGCCCCTTTTCATAACACGCCCCATTCGCGCGTCAATTGTCAAAAAAGAACCAATGACAGCACCCAAATATTAACAAACAAACTCGCGTTGCGGGCTGCGTTTTAACTCCAAGAAAGCAAGCAACGCAGTCAGTAATTGCCAAATTTGCAGGTGCTCATTTTCAACTAAAATCGGAACAGGCAAATTAGGACGAATTTGAACAGAAAAGCAGTCTCAAACTTCAAATCGTGAGGGAAGTCGTGCGACCACATTAGCATTTATAATGTGTGCTTCGCTGTCGCCATTGTTATAAATAAATTGTCTCACTTATCAGATCGTGTGCAATTCTTGTTGGCGGCGGAAAATACGAAATTTATTTCAGTTATTTCATTTGGTAAAGAACTCTACCAAAGAAGAGAGCGTTCAGAGTCCAGATCGTTTCGTTCCAAACGGCAATTTAATACCGTCTTCTGTTTCGCTCTCTCAGCGAAGCCTTGTAAATCGCAAAGTGTTTCGAAAAGGCTTACATGCAAATGCATCTCAACATCAACCAAAAGATCATTTTCTCGAGGAACATATAACGTATCAAGTCTGTTTGAAATTAATGAAACTCAAGTGTATTAAAGGCTCTGTGGTAAAGGTTACTATAGTTTACCCCAGTCGTAATGTTGCTATTCCAACACTTCACGACAAGCAATCCCCATTGGCATAACGGCAAAAACATCTCTTCCTTCAAGTAAACAATGAACAGTCTGTTCTTGTTCCATTTGTAATCGAAAAAGTGATCAATTTCGAATTTTAAGGTTATCGAGATTTATCGAGAGCCTTTGTGATGAATCACTGACCTAATTATAGAATCCAACAGCAAACAGCCAATCAGAATGCCGCGTTCGTGGGCGAACGCGGAAAGTACAAAATACCGGGCCTTGCTTGCAGGCCCACTATCAGTTCCCTTGGGCCTGCACGCGGGCTACAGCAATATAAGCAAAACCCACTGAACTTCAGACATCATTTTCTCCTTGGCGTACCATCTAAAATTTCTTCATAAAAATAACTAAACATACTTTTTAAATTTTAAATTTTAAATCGATTTAGAAACGTATCGAAAAATAAAAAATTTGAATGTAGTCATAACCGCAAGTGGTATATTATACGCATTAGTTTTGAGCGCGTGTTACGTAACATACAAAAAAATCTCCTCTTAACACAACCGCGTCATGTTTTTGCGTCAAACGTGGTGCCGCGCGAGAAATTATGCTGAGATCTGATAATAGTTAATTGGCAGTTTAGCAGCAAAAGGAGAAGGACCTTCGCTCGAAACGTCGAAATTCTGCTTGTATTTTTCAGGTAGTTGTATCCCTAGCAATCCGCAGCTTTCTTCTTATCGTCACTGCAGCCTGCAGGAATGTATAGTGGCATTCCTGAATGTTTTGACACAAAACATAGCACTTCTTAGTACACAGTTGATTTGTTAATCGGGTATATCATACACATCTCATTGGTTAAAGCACGAAAAAGCTGGATCAGTTCATACTTTTTTACCGTTCGCGCGAACAAAATTCGCCTAGTGGAAAATGGGCTTAATAATCCATTAATGGTGCGTTAGTGGTAGTGGAAGTCAAATGTGAACCTCTCCATTGAAACATGGAGAGCGCTCACTCTTATCATAAACGTAAAACAGGAAAGTCTGTGACTCACCTTCGGTGGCGTTTGAGATCCCGGCGTTTGTGAATTGGTAGGTTGTGGAGTTGCTGCATTGGGAGTTTGTGGATTTTGCATTTGAGATACAGGTTTGTTCGCTATCGAAGGTCCAGGCGACTGACGAGGTGTTGTTGCCCTTTGAGGTGACATGTGAGGGGATTGCGAGATATTGCCCGCATTGTGAGGTGACTTACCAATATTATGCGTTTGCATTGGCGGTGCTGGACTAGGCATCATTGGCTGATGCATCATACTTTGCTGAGGCATATTTGGAGGTTGCGACGACATAGGCAGTGTTTGGTTCGTCACTGTGTTAGTGTTGTTTGGTAGTGATGTTTGAGGAGGCATACCTGTAGCCATCGGGGCGGGTGTCTGCCTGTTCTTCGCTGCAACAGCGACTGCCTGAGCTTTCGCCAAGGCTACCTCCGCGTTGCTTATGTCTCCATTCATCTCTCCAAATGATGGCACTAAAGATGACGTAAAATGACAAAAATGAAGACGTTGAATCGCATCTGAATAACTGTGTAATATAACTGTGAGAATAATTTTACCAAGGCCGGATTTTGCTGGAAATGGTGGGCAGGGGGCGGAAAAAATAGGCGAGCAGCGCTCGCAGGAAATGTTAAACAGCTGCAGGAAATTGGTTTGAATGAAGATTTGCTATTGAAAATTTGAAAGGAAACCTTAACACCCATGTCCCACTATGGGCGCAACAACATATGGTTGACAGATATTATTCCTTGAATTTAAAATCATGGTCAGCTAGAACACTATACAGTATGTTTATGCACATGCAGATTTTGCAGGTTGTGCTTCCAGGAAGAAAATTATTTTTTCCTGCCCTGATGGGGGGGGGGGGGACTAGTGGACTAGCTAACGGCCCGTACAGAATGCTAGGGCTTACTGTATAAAGTAGCCCCCTCCAGTCAATGACGTCACGTATGTACTATACACATGTATCAGTGTATTTATGAATTTCTCAAGGGAAGATGCATGACCGACACTGTTTGAATATATGGTCCAATTCTCACCACTAGATACACGATCCCTCTAACAGAAATTGGGCTAAAATATCTTTAGTTGACTGTAGAATGTACATAATCGCGGATCCTCCGATAGTACAGTACCGTACGTAGTTCGTCCACACAGACGAATTTATTTCGATAATAGACGAACTGTTAGGAGAAACCGACACATCCATTTTTATAGTCAGTATGGCAGACGGCATAATTTGTTACGTGCTTTTTCGTAGTGGAGGTTGTTAAAGATGAACTCATAAACATATTACTTCCTAACCATTGAATGTGCCAATTCCCAATTAGCCTTTCTCACGCCGCCATTTTTGGGTAGCTTTCAGCCGAAGTCTGCGAGATAAGTCCACATAACAGCGACTTTTTATAAAACTTTTTGGACGAATGATGGTAAATTTGCTTTGTAAATGTTTATTTTGAAAAATTGCTTTTCACGTTGTTTTAATTGTACGCATTGGTTAACGAGAATTAGATGCCACCCAGAAATGGCGGATGTTCGTCATCGTGAGAAATGCTAGTTACATGAATAATATAGTGTGTACAGACGTTGCATGATAACAAATACTCACCACCAGGTAATGATGGGGCTGGTCCAACGTGTGATGGGGGTTGTGGAACGCCTGGATTGTTCATACTATCAACAACCGCCATCGACCGTCTCCGCCGTTTTTCTTCAAGTTCTTTTTGAATTTTATAAATTTTTTCAGCTAACAAATGATAGTACTCCTCCTGTGATAAAAAAGAGAAACATAACATAACTGAATAGACAAACAAGAGCCTGAAATAACGATCGGATATTTTCCGACTAAAAAGTAGCAATCAATCTTCTTGAAAGACTGTGTTAAATTAACCATAAGCTGCATGCAATCATCCCGCAAAGAACATTAAATGTAGTATTTGGCATTAAGTATTCTTTATCTTAGTTTACCCAACAAAGGCATGAAATAAAAATGAAATTAAAAAAATGTCCGACCAAATTTGAAAGTTTCCGATCAAATTTGATTTTGGTGGAACATTTTTCCGGACAAATTTTGAACTAACGTTCTGGCTCTGCAAACTGACAATCTTACAACATTACATATTCAGAGTTTTGAATTTGATATTTAAAAAGTCCGTTGTCTATTTTTAGTGCAACCCATTTTGGAATGATTCAAAAAATGTCCTTGGTACTTGCTCAAACAGTCTACAGACATACTTATACTTCATAGATCTATTTTAATCACAGCACGTACAAATCAAGTCCGCGCCGCTCAATTGTATGTCCAGTTTGTTAGCAATTTCCTTGCGCACACATCTTATAAACTACATGCAACAATAGTCTTCCTGTGGCCAATAGGTAGGGGTAGGTTGGCTTCAACACTACATTATAAAATGTAACAAAAAGCCCTACAAAAAAACTACTTATAGCCAGGCCTGCCATGGGGATTTTTCGAGTCATGGCGACAGCTGTTCTTGTATACGCTTGCTTGAAAAAACTAATGACGCCATTACTCGCCATCTATAACGGCGCGAACTAGACAATTTTGTTAAGTGCTACACAAGAAGTTCCAAGTCTTTCTGTACTGAAATACCTGTATGGATCCAGACTATACCAAAAGCCCAAAAAGACAGAATCCTAACAAAACTCACCCTACTGCTCGCTGTTTCATACATATCACCTTCCACCTTCCTTGCATATGCAACTAGATTTGTCATTCGTCTGTCTTTGAGAGCTTTGGGGTCATTGACTGGAGTTGGGAAAATAGCAGTAACACTAGAAATGTAGAAGAGTAAGGATTGTAAGGTAGAATACCTGTAGTAAATAGAGTATTCAACTAAAACTGTAAACATTTTATTAGTTCTTTCTGACAATGTCCGCCACCAGTAGCCAGAACTTTCAAAATTATTTTAAGTAAGCGTCTCTGGCGCGAAAGTACAGTAGACGGCTGAAAGAATAATTTTACAAATATGGAAGTTTTGCCATTTCAAGTGTGGTCATCTTTTTCTCAAGTCTGTGGTTTCATCAATTGGTAGTCAGCTCAGCTTGGTTACTCCAGTGTAAGGCTATAAGCAGTGGTGTAACTTTACATTTTTGACCACCCTCGGGGCAAGTTGGACATGAAAATTACTTAAATTAGTTTCCCTGAATAAAATTTACTTGTCATCAGACAATTCATTTCTGCAGGAGTTCATTTTGACACAGATACTTGATTTAAGGTGTCAGCCGTCACGGATCCAGTTGTTACAAAATGGGTATTTTTGCAAGAAAAGTCAGAAAAATGTTTATACATAGTAACTAGTGTGTATTTATTAATTATTTTCAACAAAGGTGAAACAAATTCCAGGGTGATTTAAGACTGATTGTGGTAAATTTAAGGCAAATCAAGTACGAGGTTCTATGCAATATTTGGCTAAACGTCAAACAACCAGTCAGCCGTGCACTCAACATTCCATCATCAGTAGAACAGGCTAGTTATGAGGGAAAGAACAATGTAGAGAGCATTTGAAAATAGTTTTTAAAGTTTTCAAAACAGCAGAGTTTGCACACTTACAGTTTCTGTACAAGATGGTTTCTTAAATCTGCTGTAACCTGCTGATGCCATTCTTTAGGCCCTCTAGCTCCTTCAGGAATCTTGTCCACTGCAAAATATACAGGTACTATTTAATCATGTTAGTCCTATGAGGTTTAATATATGAACATTCGACTTCATGGTCAATGTCACACCTGTGAACTATACCAAAAAAAAAAAGAAAAGTTCAACAGATATACAATTTTTTCCATACCTTGACCCCGTTTGTCATTGGCATGTTTTAAAGGCAAACAAACCGGACAGTCACTTCTTTTACAATTTTTCCAATGTGAAATTATTTGTCTTGATGATGCACAATGAGCAACTAAAAAAGGAATATATACACAATTAAATTTTAGTGCTATAGCCTATCCACCTTATAGTGATTTTTTAGCTTTCTTAAATTGGCTGTTGACTGGTATAACCCCACATTCAACCTTAAAACATTCAAGTCGCCTTCTATTAATTGTGGAAGCCATATCTGTAGTTTAATCGCAATTCAAGGGATTTTACAACGGATGAAAAAAATCACTATCCGGCCTTCGTACAACCGAACCCTGATATATTAAACTCATTACAAAAATGTTAACTAACGAATCATTACTCTTTTAAATCAACCGACACAACAACAACGCATGGCCCACTTAGCAACGATCAAATTTCAGCTGGCGACGTTCTCAAGTTCAATTGACGATTCCCCTTATCATGTTTTCATAGCGCTTTGCATTGTGGTTATAGTGGTATCACTGATATTCAAGATGGCTTATTTTTTGTCCTGACCCGTGCAAGAACTTTTAAAAAAAGCTAGGGTCAGGTGCGCGATAGCCAACAGCAAAATATTCGCGAAAACATTCAATATTTTCATTCGAGGCCGCTACTTTTATCAGCGATACCACTATAACCACAATGCAAAGCGCTACGAAAACGTAATAAGGGGAATCTAGAATTGTGACTGTCGATTCTGTTGATGCCGAGATGCACGCAGTATAATTATAACACAACTAAAGTTTTACAGTCGATTTCACGTAACCTTTGACCACAAATGTTCCGAACTTCGTTGCGAAGTTCAAAGGTTCATATTGGAATTCGCGTCATACAAATTTGACGGGTCATATTAAAATGACCGGCCGTTATTTTGAGCCTTGCAAGTCTACACCTATTGCTACCAAAATCACTTAAAATAACACATCTGATAACTCACATGCCTGGTTACCATTGTTCTGATGATGTGAGCGAAGAACTTTCGAACAAATATAACCAAGCATTGAGATCATATGTGCGAGTGAATTGGGTAGCAAAAGATATGAACGCAAGTTAGTTGATCAGACCTATACAGTGCAGTTGTATTTGATAATAAAAAAATCCTGTATAAAAACTGTGAATAACATTCTATGAAATGAGGAGTACAATACAATAGTACCATACAGTACCTTGACACGATTTCCCCGATGTACAAACTGTCATGTGGGCCAAAACATTTTTCATGGTTCGGCAGTGAGGTAAGTTACAAGACTTCACTTCACCATTTGTCATGTTTTGTTCCCGTCTTTGACATTTATGTGCATGAAGTAACAGAACAAGTTGTTGCTGGATAAGTCTCCTCTTCTCAGGGTCAGCAGTTGGTGTTTGAGAAGGTGCATTCTGTAAAGGAGTCATCGGGATTAGTGGTACATACAATCAGGGTATCTCCAAGACCAAAAAAATTCAAAGACTTTCAAATTTTTTTGCTGCCTATTTTCAAAGACTTTTCAAAGACCTTTGAGAGCAATCAGCTGTCGAAAAATTGCAAGTGTAAGCAACATTTTTACCCTGTAATTAGTCCCGTCAAATCACATCCTAAAATGCGCCTTTTCGTCCATATTTGCGAAAATCTTGCTTCAATCAATCTATTTTATTAGCTAGGAAATCGTATAATCAAATACTCACTAAAGAATTTAAAGACTTTTAAAGACTTTCTTCGCTTTTTCACACAATTGAAAGACTTTTCAAAGACATTAAAGACCTGCATTCAAATTTAAAGACTTTCAAGGACTTCAAAGACCGCTACGAACCCCGATACAATGTTTAAAATGCAAACATGCACTAAATATAATTATAATTTGCCTACATTGCCAACATGCAATTTGCGATTTTTATGATCGTTCCTAGAATTATGAAACTCAGGCTTCATATATAATAATTGCAATTAATAGGGGTTTTATGGAAGGATCTAATCATGTAAAAATTTCCACAATTTTAACATTAAAAGCAAAATGGGACTTTTCATCACTGGAAATGTGTGTATAAACGTAAATTTACAGTTACAACTTTGAAAAGTCGCTTTTCACATTGTTTAGCCTGTCTAAATTCTCTGGTGTGGGACAACAGTACTCCCAGATATTCGCCCCATGAGAAAGGTCCAAATTCCTTATTAAATCTCTTCAGCATGCCCAAATCCAATTTTAGGCTATTTGGGGGCCTCTTTGATCATCTCAATCAAATTTCCAGCATTTTTTGACAACTTAGAATTCAAGATCCCCCTCCCTTTCCTACAAGTGAACAACCTCCAGACCCTGCCAGGGCCTGTTTCTGTAAAAAAACCAATGGGTTGTAGTTCTTCCGCGATGATCTACACTGCCTTAGTGGATGCACCACACAAAAGCATTTGTGTCATTATAGTACTCACCCCTCCAGCTCCAGCAATTGTTGTAATACCAGGCTCAATCTTTGGAACAATGTTATCAAGATGTGATGTCATACTCAATGCATGTAGGTTAGTTGTGGATCCCAAGTTAGCGAAGCTTGATCCCAAGTTAGCAAAACTGCCCAAATGGTTTTCAATTGGCTCTCCTGGAAGACCCATGTGCCCTGATGTTGGTTGCTGAAGTGGAACTGAGCCAGGGTTCATGTGTGACTGATTAGATATCGGTCCTATCATCTAAAATAACAGGGAAATAAATTAACCCAAGGAACTAACTAGCTACTTCTCCTTAGAGGCCAGTGCTATTTACGGGAGGAAACGGAAATATCTAGAAAACAATAATGGTGCAAACTGACACACCTCTCACGATGGACGGTGCAGAAAAATGACATGATAATATTGCAGAAATTTAACCATGGAGACAAAAGGTACATGTAATAACCACAATCCTACCAATGCCCCACAATACAGAAGCATGTCAGAATAAACTTAAGAACAATAATAAGCTTAAACAGATAATTGTATGTGGCATCTTTGCAATTTCCAGGAATCTTTGGAGAATAGACAATTCCCATTATAAAATATTTTTTATCTTGGTAAAAAAAGTATATTCCCGGAAAGAGCATACTAAAATGAGTAAAATTGCAAAGTCTGGTTGCGAGATGTTGTAAAATGCGGAAAATATAGCCTTGCAAAGTTCGCAAATTTTGTATACTTTTGTACTGCATCATGCGGAAATTGGAAGAATAGCGTCAATGAAGGGTTTTTAATTAATAAGTCGAGAGTTAAACTATATAAAGTTTTTTTTATATCTTTCAAGAACTGTGTAAGTTAACATCTGTGTAAGTTAACATCTGTGCTGATTTATTTGCATCTCCATGCCTAGTTTTAAAATTATTCTATAATGGGAATTGTCTATTTAGCAGTGGTGTCGAGTAACGAAGTAAATGTACTTCGTTACTGTGCTTGAGTACTATTTTTGAGAAGTGAGCATGTAACAAAGTAAACTTTTTCTGGAGTACTTTTACTTGGAACGAAGTTGTTTTAAGAAGTAACGTTTTACTTCGTTATTTTCATTTTGTGGCGAAGTATTTCGTTACTTTCTCATATTTGTTTAATTTTACGTGATTTATTCCTTATTTATTTTAATTTTGGGATAGGTGATATGACATATAAGCATTATTTTTTATTTAATGGATTTCTTATATCTTCAACGGGGTCTGGAAAGTAGACCATGCCGTGAAATATTGTATATTATGGTGCACGACTCACGCATATAGTGTGTGCTGTTTTGTGTCTTTTGTATGTCAATCCATTGGAAAATCCCTCTACACGCTATAGACAATAGTACTTTTACTTTGTACTTCAAGTATTTATTAAGGATACTTTGTACTTTTTCAAGTACGTTATGCCTCCAGTACTTTTTACTCTTACTCAAATCGTTTTATTGTTAATTACTTCTACTTTTACTCGAGTACAAATTCAAAGTAATTTAGGCACCACTGCTATTTAGCCATGTTAGTGGAGACAAAAGGTACATGTAATAAACACAACCCAACCAATCGTATATGGCATCTTTGTGGTATCTTTGCAATTTCCACGAATCTTTGGAAAATAACTTGTCTTAAGCCCAAGTAGGAACTGATCCAACTTTTTCGCTTCACGCGAACAAATTCGCCTAGTGGAAAACGCGGGCTTAATGCGTCCATCTTGCCTGGCAAGGTAAATATTTCCATGTGTCCACGATATGAAATTACAACATGGTTCTATAATTACAGCTTGCAAAATAGCAAAACGTGTACGATTCAGACATGCAATACAAATGTCTTAACAATTTTGGTCTTTTTCTTCATTTACTTGCAAGAAAAAGCATTGGTTTAGCAAAATATTTATCCCATTAAGGTTACTTCGCATGATGAACGTGCGTTTTAGTCTATTGAATTTTAAGTGTGACTTCACCAAATTTTTAGTGAAGAAAGCCAATAAAATGCTGATTTTGAAAATCTTCATTTGATGGGTGTTCTGTTTAAACATGTCCAGTATTGGCCGACTAAAGAAATACATAGGTATCCAATAAAAAAAATCAAAGTATGTTTATAGTTTACCTCAACGTTTGTCTACATATATCGATTTGAATCTTCATAGGTACGGTAAAAAAAAAAACGTGTGCGGAAAATTTCTCTTCTTCAATGGTTTCTCTGATATGACGTTTTGTGAATTATCAGTGACAAACCCAAGAATCAGGGCATATCAGAAAAACCACTAAGGAAGAGAAATTTTCCGCACACGTTTTTTTATCATGCCTATGAAGATTCGAATTGCGATATCTAGACAAACGTTGAGGTAAACTATAAACATATTTTGATTTTTTTATGAAGGTACATACATATTTACTCAGTCAGCCAATACTGAAAATGTTTAATTAAACAAAACACCCATCAAATGAAAATTTTTGAAATCATCATTTTCCTGGCTTTCTTCACTAAAAATTTGGTAAAGTTACACCTAAAATTCATTGCGCAATGTCCAATAGACTAAAACGCACGTTCATCGTGTAAAGTAACCTTACATGTAAGTTGCACTGTACCCTAATGTGCCCTATTTCTATATTTTACTCTGTATAATGCCAGACCATTTTACTCATCAAAGGGAAATGTTGATGCTCAATGTGTTATTAATACTTGTTTACAAAATAAAACACAAAACTATAGTAGATATTGTTAAATTAAATGGCAAAATCTAAAATTCCAATTTCTTGAGTTTATCTCGGTTAAGTGGGCTGCTGTTGGTGTAACCATATCAAAAAAATGTCATACTGCCTACCTGTGGACTTGGTTTATACAGCCGGAATCCGACCAAGCAGACCCGTTCCTCATATGTACATTTATCTTGTAAAATTACTAGACCTATTAGCCATTCCGAAGTTGATGAGTGGACTGGGGACGAGTGTTAAAAAGTGCCCAAATTAAGAAATGAACCAAATCACTAAAAAAACATCTCAAAATTAGTAAGTATACAAAGTTTGAAGATGTTTCCATGAATGCCCTTCGAATAATAAGCTTTCGAAAATTGTGAAATTGCTGATTAAAAGATTGTTTTTGGGGCGCGCGTCCCAAAAAACAAAAATTACAGTACATTTCATAGTAAATATCACCATTTCGAAAGCTAATT